CTCGTCCCAGAGGTGTGAGGAGACAGTGCTAACCACTGCATCCCCATGCTAACCACTGCATCCCCATGCCGCCCCCTCAAACTAACAAACATAACTTTTTGTATTATTCAATGTATACAGCTGTTTGTTTGACTTGGGGTAATTATACAAGCACTACAAGTCCTCAAACCTTCAACCACAACCTTTCCATCCATCCAGGTCAGGGTCATTGGGTAAGCTTGGTGTCCATCTAAGGCAGCATAGGGCACAAGGCTGGGTGACACCCTGGATGGGACATGCTTCCCAGAGCGCACGCACACACACACACACACACACACACTTAATCATACAATATGGGCAATTCAGAGATGCCAATGTACCAACTAGAGGTCTTTAGGCTGTGGGGGAAACTGGAGCACTTAGGAGGAAGGAGCCTTTGTGACAAACTAATCATGAAGAGCTGGGGCAAGATTTCAGCCCTCAGCCCTGGAGCTGGGAGGCAACAGTACGACTATTCATTTATACAAGTTCCTCCTAAATGGTAATCATTGTGTATTATTTTTGTCACTCTATTCCTTTAAGCTAATGCACAGAAGTAGCTCACAGGCCAGAAGGGCATTCCGCATAAAAATAAGGCCCAGATGTACCTGGAAGAGCAAAGCTCAGACGAAGTCCAGCCTCGGCCTCCTTGTCCCCAGCTCCGTTGAGCAGACAGCACCGGTACCTGGGGGAGGCGGAGGACGCTCTCCTCACGGCAAGCTTGCTGACAATGTTGAAGCGCCCATCTGCGGTTCCCCTCGCCACAGTCTCAGCGCTGCGGGACCAATCTGTGCCATACTGGTCGAACCACCGAATGGCGCCCATTGGATAACCGCCCTGGGCACTGCAGAACATGTCCACTGCCGTCTTGTCTTGAATGTTACTCTCTGGGACGGAGGACATGATTAGCCCAGTGTACCTGGCTGGAAGGAGAGTATATGGAACAAGAAGAAACAGAGAGAGACCTCAAACATTTTAGAACAGGACAGCCAATTTCCTTACTAATTTATTCAGCAGCTTCTTGCTTATCCTGAATGCTTCTTTTTGTTTTTTAAAAAAGTGATTTTGCCTTTTAACCAGGACACTGTTCTTTTGATAAAACACTTTTTTGATCCCAGGAAGGCATCTGACTGCATACAGCAGCAAAGGAACACAAATAGTGCAAAGATACAAACACACATTATAAAAACTGCGACGTGCAAAGCCAGTAGGCACCACAACAAATGCTGCTCAGCGTTAAAAAATAAATAGATGTAAATAAGTTACTGGGGGCTGTACGTTGTCCGGCAATAGCCGTTTTGAAACAGAAATGCTGTCTTGACATGCATTATGGCTGAAGGTAAGGGTTGAGTGGCAGACTCAAATAACAGATTATGATTTGGGGAAAAGAAAAGCAGCCAAGCAGCATCTGTATGAGGAGATACATTTCTCAGGAAGGCCCTCGGAGAGTAACAGTAAAATTACCAGGTAAAAAGCTACAATAACACTAACAATAACTAACAATCAAAATGACCTGGATTTCGCTTAAGCCGAGTTCTTGCTGCATGCTGATTGGTCAGTCTCCTATAATCACGCACGTGTCACTAATGTTAATATGAAACAGCTGGATGAGTCTTTCAATCAAGAAAACAAACCAGTCAAAGCGCAAGAACAACTGAACTCTTTAGCCAAGCATGGGACCCTTTCAGCTCAAGTAGTTTGTAAATCGTGAAGTAGCTCATAGTGTCCCCCCCCCCATGGATTAGGTGGTCTCCCCAGAAACAGTGCTACTCCAGGCTTCAGTACCGACCTATGTGGTAAGCTTTGGGGGCACAGACACTCAGCAGTCTTTCATGCGTCTCGCGATCTGCTCTCCAAACAACAAGTTCATACATCTTTTATAGCCAAAAATGCGACAATTTACAGAGGGGTCGGATATCTGTAGACAGTTACTTCTGTTGAACTTGATCCATTATCAGGTAAAGGCAGGGTTGATCTTTTCATGATTGCTGTTGTGATTACATCACCCTGCTCAACCAAATTCATCTCCCTCTCCCCCTTACGTTCCTTTAGTTCTCTTTTCCCAAATCTTGACTCCCAACATAAACACTTTTCTTATAAATGTTTACTGCAGCAGCCTTACATCTTGAATCAGGTCTGTACCTTGACCTTTTGCAAAACAAGCTCTTATGCCAAAATATGTTAGTATCTCTTACCTAAAACGAAAACCTATTACTTAAGCAAACTTGCATTATATGTTAAGTATATTAAATGTCTCAAGGCAAAAGTCAATCATTACAATCATCATGTTTGAATCAACAGTGTTATCATAAGTCTCATTATTAATTACTGATTGAATCTGCATTGGATTTGCATAATCATGGATTTTTCTTTCACACCTAAACAGCCATATCTTGATGCTTTGATCTACAGTAACTCGCCCATATTCAGCCATCTATACAATATAGTGTATTACTGGAGCAATTCACAGGTAGCAAAGCCTCTTCCCTGGGCTTAAACTGGCTACAGCTGCTGCCCCCCCATGCATAAAATGAAACTCCGCACAACTGTGGCATTACATATTCCTTCTCTGATGGGTCCCCTGACGGGATATGGGCATTTTGCCACTCTCTGGACGACCGGAGCAGTACCTGTGACTCGCAGGCGTGCCGTTTTCTCAGCGTACCCATGGTCCGTCAGCACCAAACAATGGTAAAGCCCTTCATCGGCCACACGGGTGGCCCTCACCAGCAGGGATACCACGGCACGGCTCTCATCCCAGCCAGGCTCGGCCAGTTGGAAACGGGGGCTCTGCTTCAGCACGCCCCCGATGAAGGAAAGCAGGGGGGGGGACGGTCCCAGCCTCCTCCACACCACCGCCACGATTCTCACGTTCGGGTAGCCAGATTTCACCCAACACTGAATCACAGAGTCCATGCCATGCAGTCCGCGATTCTCTGGAAGGCAGTTTAAACTTACAGATCCTGTTAGAGACACAGAGAATGAATCTAATGGACTGAAACTTAGCCCACAATTTGCATAAAGGCATATTTAGCTACTATACTTTGTAATAAAACATTTGCTCAAATGGGAAGTCCTTAATTATTCCTTATTTATTCTTATGGAAAATGGGAGTTCACCAGCAGCCTCAGCAAAACAGACGCATTACACCTGCAATCAGGGACGGATTACGGACAGGGCCAGCGGGGCCGCTGCCCAGGGGCCCTTGGGGTGCAGGGGGCCCGTGGGGCCCCTAGCCCAAAACAATTTGCAACGCTTATCAACAATGTATTTTCGTTTGTCTATTTTAGAGGGCCTACATTCTTTGATCCTCTGCCTACAAGGGCCCCTGACCCTATAGGGCCTCTGATGGAAACATGGAGGGAGGGCGTTTGGCTGCCAAGGGCCCTTGAATGGTGGTGGTGGTGGTGGGGGGGCCCTCGCGGACGTTTTGCCCAGGGGCCCACACAACCCATAATCCGTCCCTGCCTGCAATGAGGGAGCCCTTTCCTGTAAGAATGAGGAACTGGGCTCCCAAACGTCACTGGGATCCTTCATCGCTAAAGCTCGCAGAGCCGCTACTCGCCATTAGAGGGCATAGTCCTCAAGGTACAGCTGAAATACACCAAAACAGCAAAGAGTTTGACTGCTGTGGCCATGATTGGGTCTCCGGGTTGATCTGTGAGAGAGCGATGCAGGGAAGCATCAGCCCCAGGAACAGCAAGCGGTCTGTTTGGAAAGGATGGTTATTCTGGGCAGGTCTGAAGACTAACCTCAGCTGTGATAGAATCTGCGCGTCCTTGCAGTCCAACTTCGGTCGCTATAGGTACCCTCCAGTGTCAAGAGTGGGACATTCTGTCCTCAGAAAAATCAAATCACCAGCTGGTTACTTAAATGTAATTAATAGAGGACTGAACTACGGCTTTCATTTCAAATATTAGGATGGCTGATGTTTGAGGAGTTTTTTTTTTTTTTTTTTGACCACGGGCTCTTAACCGCCACCGCACTCGTACAAATAGACGTGAAAATCACACACAAAAAAGCGAAAGTATACTAACAAGGTTAGAAGACACACTTAAAAAGCTATCAGAAAAAGGATTTTATAATAATTAGATTAGCTTATCTTTCGGCTGCTGCGGCCGCTGTTACTAAATTTGTAACATAGCAGAACATTTAACAGTGCAGCATGTCTGTATGTTTAGAGGGGAGCAAAAAAAAAAAAGACCAACAAGCCAGCCTTACCGTAAGGAAGACAATTTGCATAACCAACGAGTGCTCGGTAATATAAACACTGAATTAACATTCTTAATTAGACTAAATCCGTGTTGGTATAGGCCAATGTCAATAGTCTGCTAAGAGCAAAACGTACAAAGAAAATATACAAAGTGAATAAACAGTGACTCAGAAATACGTAGATCGATTGAACACATAATGAACACATTCATCTTATTGCGTTATTACTCGTATGTCAACTAAATGCATATCACGAAATGTATAATCATCTACGTAATACACTTCCAAGACAACTCTGAAGTACGAAATCAATCTCCCAAAAATACCGCCGACTTTCACATCCCAAATACTGCGGCCGACAGCTTTCTTTATACCTAAGATGGACTTGTTTCCTTGTGTTCGCTTAATTACCTCCCTAATACATTGACTCGCAAAATGTGGGGCTTTAATGCACTTCTGCCATCCCGTCATCCAAAAGTCTCCCTGCTCATCAGGAGCCAGATGCCAGCCTTAATCAGCCGGCATAATTGATTTCCTAGAAGTCTCTGCGCCAGTATGCAAATCTCAGTATACCGATATACCAAATCTAAAATATGCATTCGCCCCAAAGACCGTTTGGAAAATTCTTAGTAATAAGAGATTATGTAGAAATCCTTGAGCGTTTTATAAATTTTGAGTAACAGTATGAGTTTTCCCTCGCCAGAACGGTTTACATGTCCTGTGCGGGATTAACGCAAGTTTGCTAGTTTTGGTTACATGGCTGGCGTGAGATTTTCAATTCGACACAACTTTGCACACACATTTACATGTATAAAAGAGTTTTATTACCTTGTAAATAGTCGGTAGGGTTTGCAAACTGCCCCAACGTGTTTGATGTGGCTAATTTTAGGTTTACAATGGAATTATACAGATTTGCCGTAAGATTACTTGCGTAAGCGTGAGTCTGAAAGCGTGTCACGTCAGATGCGTGAGAGCTGGCAGCCCTCGGATAAGCGCTAGAAAAGCGATGGACACAAATCGGTACGTACACTTAAGGGTTAATTCACAGCTGGGGGAATTTCCATAAAAGGCCGTAATAACAGTGGGAATATGCTTCACAGTTGCACCAGATCAGGCGTTTTTGTAAATAGCCCTCTGCCATTTTTGGTAACTCTTTTCAAGCAGCTGTGGGGTGAGAGCGGCTGTCCGCGACGGCATGGTTTAATACCTCAGATGGATAACAAAACAGAACGCACAGCGACGACCTTATATCAATCTTTATTTTATTTAGAAATTTGCACATCAGGCATTTAACCATTTACACCGGGGTAGAATGAAAGACAAGCAGAAATTCATGCCTTTTCCAGATGGGCTGATATGGGAGGGGGGATAAAGTGCTTCTCTCAATGCTTTAGAAAAAAAGGGGACTTTTTATATATAAAAAACTAAATTCCATGGCTCACACGTAAGTGGGGGATGAAAAATACTTTGTGGAGGAAGGGAGAGGGGGGGGGGCGGACACCTCAACCCAGGATCAGACTGGATTTCCCCCCTGGAGGGTTTTTCCGGCTCGTGGGGGCTGGCGCAGGTACTGTGGTGGGCCAGGGCTGGGGGGCTTCTTCGTCCTTTGGCTCCTCTGCACTCTCTCCTTCCTCTGCGTATTCTGGGGACACGTGGCAGACGAACCGCTCAGCACGACGGCTTTTAACCGCACGAGCTAACCTGGTCTGGCGTGTGGTGCCGCCGCCCAAGGTCACATCTGCTCAGCGAAACAGAGCTAAACTCTTATCACTACACCCACGAGGAATGTTGTCCGATTAAACGCCACAATCCCTGCTGCATACAGCACAGGAACCAACTAATGACCCCTAACTGCCCATTGCTTTCAAGTTGAAAGCTTCAAAGGGTGACTCGCATCTTACCAAACTCATTCCTTTAATAGTAGTCATGCACTCCTGTTTAGAGGCTGAAAAGAGACTGGGGAATGTTAAGAGCACCGTTCAGCACCCCTCTGCCCTGTCATTACGTCCCGGCAGACAGGACGGCTTCCCCAATTCCTTCTGCTGCAGCACCGGCGATACAGCGCACTCACCAGCCTCCGTATCCTCTCTCTCTCCATCCTAGAAAAACAAACAGTCAGGCTTTCAAAGGGAATGTGTTCAAATCTCTAAAGCATCTGGTAACGGTTTAGAACAAACAGACGGCCTGCTTAGTTCCTGCATTTACCCTGTTTGAGCGGCCAGTGTGAAGCCAAAAAGCCACAAAGTGATATAGGATATTTACAGATGCCTGCAACTGGACAAGCAAAAAGGTTTCTGCCAATCAGAGCAGATGTAGGGAATAGATATGGACGGCATTACCATGCCCCAACAATCCTAGTGGATTAAAATTGCTGCAGCTTCTACTCAAATGTATTCCTCACAGACTGCTGACGTCTCGCTAGTAGGTTCGCTCTTCGAGCAGCATCTCTTACCAAAGTTGGAGCTTCGGAAACAGAGTTCTTCTGGACGGCCTGCTGGTGGCACCTTCTCAGGGGGGCTGACGACTCCCCACACAGCACACCGCTGGCTTTTCCACCTGCAGAGAAATATTTGGTTGTGGCCAGAACTAACAAACACCCGCTGAGCAGCCAGATTCACTTTGATGCACTTTAAAAAGGCAGGCCTCCACATGGCACCAATCGTACACTAACCATCCCTGCTCATATTGCAGGCCGCTAACCCCACCCCACCCCTACATACTGACGCCAGCTGACGAATACCAGCCTTCCATCGTAGTCCAAGCACATCCCCTGTAAGCGTGCTGGCTCACAGCCAAATCGTGAATCTAATCCAGACATCACCCATTGGACAGTGAGCCAGAACTCCATTGATGGAGAACAACATTTGCTCTCCGGGAATGCGGCCTAACTTCTACACAAAGAACCTCAGCAGAGTGCATAGCTATCCATCCAAAAGCAGCCATTGGGTTTGTCGTTTCAGTTTGCCACAGAACTTCACAAACAGGTCTGCTGGACGTTCCCAACGCAACACAAACACCTTGGTCTGCTTCAGTAGTTCAGCAGCCTGAAAAGCTTTTTAATAGTTCCTTCTGGGATCAAAGCGGGTTCTGATCTGGCAGCCAGGCGTGTGAGCCGTGTCACAGGGGACTCTGGGAGCCGCGTCACCACCTCAGCCAGGTGCCCTTCCGCAGCAGCACTATACCAGAAGCTTCCACATGCTGTGAATCTCACCTAAGCCGTCAACACACAGGATTGTAAACTTTTTCTTTAAAAGCTTGCTGCACAATCAGGGTGGAAATAAAATGCTATGCATTTGCAAGTTTATAGTCCTTATCACATTAAGATCTAGCTGCGCATTTGTGCACTGGACCATAGGGCATCCCGAACAGGACGGTACTACATGCACCCTCACACCGAATATAGAAAGTGCCCTGAAAGCAGACTAGCTAAGCGACTAAATTTAACCAATATCTGTATATATCAATCCTTCAAGCAGGTTTCCTGGTCAGGACTTCATGCAATTTAATTTTTAATTTTTGGTCTTGGATTCTTGTCCCGAGTTCAGCAGGTATGGTGTCACCTAATCACTGTACAAAGGCTAGCTCTATGAGCATGTGACTCAATAATGAGACAGCCAACAATTAGGTCATCGCCTTACACATAACCCCAGTGTGTATTCCTGATAGTAATGAGGGCAGGAAGAGACGGGGAGGGGGGGGAACCCCGCTTGAATTACTCCTCATTCCGGTTTAGTACAGTAATGGAAAAAAAAAAATGGAGAAAAGTGCAGACAACTCAGTATAGGTTTCAGCGTGGACATTCCTTTGTCTAGTCAACCCCACCCCACGCGGCGAGTGCCGAGCTGAAGCTTTACTGGCCCGGATGAGCTGCTTCTCGTGCGAAACGTGCCAGCAGACGCCTGAAAAGCTGCGGCAGGCCCGGAGCACAAAGATACCCGTGCTGTACCCACCACCGAAGCAACGCAAGCCTGCTATTTATTAAGAATTCAAGGTAAAACTAGCAACGACACATACTTCCTCATACCCACCCGCTTACTGAACAAGCCTCAATCGTTTGATGTGCACCGATGAATACAGATCACAAAAACATCAAGGCCAGTGTTTGGCAGAGTAATATGACCCGTGATGTCAGAGGGTGAAGTCTGCAGTCATAAAACATGTGGTAACTTCCTGTGATTCAACGGACAACAACTGATTAAAATCCATGCAAAACCTAAAACATCCTGTCAGGATGCTGTTTTTTAATTAAACTCGGAGGAAGCCAATGGCACGCTTTGGGGGTTGGGTGAGGTCAAAACATCACCCCAGCAGCTGCAACCTGGTCTGCCACGCCTCCTACACGTGTCCATGTCTCATACAGTACGAGTGAGCAAACGCCAATCCACGCAACAGGTCTGTCGGCTCTTCTGGCACCTTCCAATCTGAGGCTCCTTTAAAGCTGGAAATTGGTTTAAATTTTTTATTTTTTTTTTACTCTCTAACCAATAGGTTGGGGCTCTTCTGCAGAACACTGTCCCTCACGCATGCTTTGAATCTCCAATTATCTTTTTGTACATCAGATTCAAAGAGATTTACGAAAAAGCAACCAGTCACAACAGTAACAAACTGAATCACAAGTGATCTTTCATCATTGCTGTAAGATGAATCTAAGGCTACAGAGACCATACAAAGAAATTACTTCATGAGAAACAGGCAGTAAGTCACTTGCCACATTATAATAACACCAATTTAAATTTTAACCCGAAGCAAGTACATTCAGCTCACAAGCAGTGACAACAATGAGAACGGGGTGGTTCCCCGTCCAACGGATCCAGTTCTTTAGAATTTAGTAAATATGGCCATAACATGGTGAACATGGTGGTTTGTTACCTGGTGGGTTGTTCCGTCGATGGGCGTGGGGGTCGTCAGGTCCAGCGAAGATATTGGAGGCCATTCTGTTCTTGCGGGCCGGTGACTTGTCCTCATCCGTGCCGAAGGATATGTTTGAGGCTCCCCCGGGGGGGCACAGCACCCTGAGGAGAGCAAGTAGGCTGGTAATTTATACACATGGGCGTATATAAAGCCCCCCCCATGAAAGGTCACGTCATGATGGACAGCTGTCATCCAGGTCTCATTTCCAATACGAACATGCGCGCCTATGCGGCACATTGTGAAGAGTCACCTGACCAAGACAAGGCAAACTAATGGAGAGGAAACGCCTTCTCCTTTAAACACAGTATCTGGTCACATTTCCATCTGACAATCGCATGGTGCCTAAACTTTCCGCCACCACTCCCTATCACCCACCCTCCGCCCATGTAGGGTTTAATAATAAAAAAAAAGGCTGGAGACCAACAGCTGACATCGAACAGCTGTTTAGGTCGGATTGGAGACTGAAAAAAAAACACAAGTGCCCGAAGGAAATAAAAGAAACCGAGAGGAGAGAAGAGAGACGGGGGATTAGAGAGCCTTACTGTCAGGGAAGCGTCCGCTGCGCTGTTAATGTCTAAACCAGACCGAACCTCCTAAACAAACCCGGCTTTTTTTTGACAGACTAGAGGATTAAAGAAAAAAAACGTATTTTTAAAGACCCCACCCAATAATGAACCAGCAAATACTATACTGCGAGCGTGAGACGGTGAAACTTAATATAATTCTTACTGCATTATCTGCAAAAAATAGGAGAAAAGCCGACAGGAGATATTGATGGTTTAGGTCTCCGACGGCTTCAAACAGTTTTATTAACACAAAAATCTAGACACCTTTGAATTAAAGGCTGTCGAGTTAGTGGTCTAGCTGGACATCAGAGACAGATGAGGCCGAAAAAGGTGGTTTCTCAGCGTGGGGAACCGCGCTGCTTACCGGCAGCGGGGGATGCCCCGTCGCGCACGGATGCTGCAGCGTCGCCCATCATTTCGCTACTGTTTCAGTCTCATTTGACCAATGGACCTGGACCTCCGGACGGTGTCAGTTCGTATCCCGCGGTTCATTTTCATTTTACCGTACCACGGTGAGGACAGCGGGCCGACCGTCCACAGGGGCACCCATGCGACACGGCGTGCCCGGGCGGCTCCTCCGACCCGGACGACCCGCTATCTGTCCTCCGAAACTAAAGTTTAACCAGGAGACATTCCGCTTAATTAGCCGGAGAGCCGCCCTGAGTGACAGCACAGACGCAAGCCAGGCAGATCCAGATAAAAGCCAAGCACATATCCAGCGAAAGCTGAAATCCAGCTGCAATCAGAAAACTTAAATCAAATATAGCAAAAGACACAAACAAGAACTTAAAGACCGAAATTACACCCATTTCTTTAGAGTCAACTGTTTATCAGGCGGTTGAATGAACTTGGGTGCCAACCAACTAACTGCACCTTTCACGGAAATTAAAAAAATAACTGTAGTTGAGATTCCACAGTACCACAGGAATGCAAAAAAAAAAAAATCTGGACACAGACCACGCGTGCGGAAAGGCTGTATTTCCAAATAAATACAAATCATTTAACATCAGCAGGCCGTTTCCTGAAAATTTTACTTTAAAAATACCAGCCACCAATCCAGCTGCCCAGTCTTAGTCACTCAGCTAAACGTTAATAGAACCGGGCTAAGCAGCCAACTAGACAGCTAACTGGGATCCATTTTCCTTTTGTTTGTCGGTATATCCGTGACTATTTTATTTACCTGGAACTATTTTTTGAACTCGGATCCATTCCCTGGAAGGTAGTGGTCGTCGTCATCTTACGAGATAACCAGTTTATAACGATAACGATGCTAAAAAGTATTAAATACTTATTATAACGCTAAGAATATCCTATCAACCTCCCTACACCTCGCCAGCTCCACCCGACTCCCTCTAAATTGAAGTCGGAGAGGGAATGGGAATGTGGTTCGCACGAGGTCCCACCCACAATGAAACGTCTCCTTATGATTGGACAGGTCTTTCTCTTGATTGCTTGCGGATTGGCTGTTTACCCCGCCGGTCACCGTAAAAGGTCATTTTGCAGCTTTTTCATCGATCCACCGCATGTTGGAAAAAACGTATCCCTACAGTTTTTCAGTGGTACCGTAATGCTAATTTACTGCAGTTTAGGATAATATATTACCGGCCACATTTTATCAATGAGAATTCTGGAGATGTTCACGAAAGCAGAACGTGTATCACGCTATACTTAACTGGAAGGAAACACTTTTTATTTTTACCGTGTAGATGCTCAAAATGAGAACAAATACTTATGGAACTAACTGAAAAGTAAAACATTTCACAGGGAAGGCTTTAGCTATAACTTAAGTAGCTTATTCTAATACAATAGTCCTACTGTCCTCTCACTGCTGTTTTTCTTTTGTATACTAATCATACTTATTTCTTATAAACCCTTTATAAACTGATTGTTATAATTTGCACAATACATCAAAACCATAAAATGTGAAAAAACAAACATTTAACGCCAGGCAAAGCTGCAGAAGATAACTTTTTTTAAACAAGAATTTTATTAGACAATACAGATGTTTAACTTAAAACCCCATAATCAGGGTTCTTACATAAAGTTGGGCTAGTCAAACTTTACCACAATGCCTTTTCTACACATATACTACTACGAATACTACATGTACTACACATATACTACTATGTCTACTACCTTTTCTACACATATACTACTACAATATAAAAAAAGATATAAAATCAATTTTCTAAATAGGGAACAGAAAATTAGGTCAGATAACCAGGCTACTTCTTGATGTGGATCAGGACCTACTCGAGTTCCAGGGGTCTCTTTGTGTTGGAGGGTTTGCCCATCTGGCAGTATTGCGCTTCACCAGTAACTTTCAGTGTTTAATGCCACTTCTACTAACTATATGGTTTTTTACAGTTGTTTATGTACAAAAAGAATGAAAGCAAGACTGAGCACTATACAACAGCAGTTATGTATAACTGAAAACTAAGTGATACCGTTGAGTGGTAAGAGCGGAGGTGTGTAATATCGGAAAAGCGGGGGTGAGGGGGGGGACAAAGGATGACTTTAGCAGAGGCCTCCTGTCTGTTGCTGAAACACGTCGATCGTATCTTCATCCTCCATTTCCAACTGTTGTGGCAGAGTAAAATAAATCACAGCTGCAGTCAGAACACCACTATAAACATGAGGAATATCCACATTACCAGGCATAAGCAACCGGCTTGCTGCCCAAACACATGATCTGCTGCTGAAGGTACAGTCTCGGGACTCAACACTAGTGTTTGGAGTCATTTTTGAAATCACAACTACATAAACGATAAACTACATAAAAGATAAGATTAACTCTATTAATCCCATGAAGGGAAATTTCGGTGTTATCCTGTCCATACCTGCTGCCATCAGACAACATGAGCACAGTATGAAAGAACAGAAATATATAAACAATGAACAAACAACCAAATGGCAGCCGTAGTCGAAGTCCTGGGATTGTAAATATTTATGTAAACATTTCCATTCATCTCCCATCACCATTAATTCAGGGTCACGGTGCTTCTAAGCACATGGAAAAATCAAACTTGTCCAGGTGTGTTTATGCACTCCGATGTAAACACTGACACATACCTGTGCTGGTGTGTCTGTCTCATTTATCGGCTGGCCGTCAAACCGGAAGCGAATCTGCCTCATCGTCAGCCCCTGTAGAGAAGCGGTGTCTGTTTATTGAAGTCTCCCTAAATGGATATTCAATTGCTCTTATTACTGTAACATGGAAACCTAAAAAGGTAAGGCAATGTGAACCGGGACACATAAAGGGACATCAGGCAGGTATACCATCATCGGGTTAACTAGAACAAGAATGCCTGTTGTCACTAGTCTACAATTATACATTTTTCACTATTGTGGCCAACCTATATACTAAAATGAGAATGCTATAAATATTTCACTGTTTCATATAAAGGGGGAAATGCTTTTTTCCTCCCCTTTCTTTTTCTGGAAATTCATATCTATTTTTATGTCTTAAAGGAAAATCGGATACCATAGTGCTACAATGAAATGTCTAAAAGTAATAACCACAGATAAAATGCTGTGTCTGTCAAGCAATTTACCGGTGTGTCTTTATAGTACACAACAAATGTCAATTTGTCTCGAGATGCCACTGACCCACCCAGTAACACTAAAGTGCTACGAGGTGGTCAAAAATGTAAAGGCAGGTTTAAGAGAAATGCAGTGTGAATCAGAACACAATCCTGGCTTACAGCAGAGGCAGAGACAGCCATGCTGGAAAGGACAGCCTAACTTCTGCCACTGAGAAGGCAAAATGCCCAGAACTGCTACAGAGCCGTGCCAATCAGCCATAGGAAACAGCCCATCCGTAAAGAGCAACTGCTATTCCCAGTTACTGACCAAGGTATGTTTCCTGCCTCAAAGGCTCCTAAGAATGAAACATATAAGCAGTTTCTTATCTATGCCTTTAACGATATGCATTATCTCTAGAAAAAGAGCCAACAGTAGGACTTGTATCCTTCCCTTTAATGATTAAAAACAAACTAGTCAGCTGTGTATCATTTCGCAGCGCATCATGCCTGCGAATTGAGCTGCATGTGTCAGTGGACACTCATATCTTCACATTCATTTATTTGCAGCTTATTGAAACTGTGGGGTGGATGTTATTGGAAATGTTTAAACATCAACTGTTAAGACGGCAGGATTTTTTTTAAACAAAAACAGGTTTTGGTTTGATGAGGCCAGGAAGCCAAATCTTACCTGCCTCTCGCAGTACGCCTTCATCAGCTTGTTGAGTGGCGTGTGCCTCTTGATCTTAAACTGCACCACAGAGCCGTCCTGACCTGCCACCTTCAGGTTAATGTGGTCATTGTTTTCCGTCTTCACCCCTTCCTAGAAGGAATGCAACTGGCGATGAGCTTCCTTATCAAAATCACAACATGGAGGGGAATCAAAGCTCTACATACAGGTACAATCAGAAAGAACTGATGACAATGTGTTACCTCTTACAGCTCTATTACTAAAATGTTCAGGAAAGATTCTTTATAAAATGAATAAAGGCCTATACAAACCAATGGGCAGTAGGTAAAAAAAAAAAGATCAGAACTGATGGCTGGGTTTAAACACGTATAATGATTTCATATACAGAATAACTAAAATTATTCTGTATATGCATTTCCAAAAAAATGATTCAGAATGATTCTCTTCGGCTGCAGCAAAACGACCATTTAATAGCATAGCGTGGCTGTCCATCTTTTTCCGATTTAAACAATTAACTTGGAAAATTCCAAAAAGCATCAAACAAAAACAAATGGATTTTCCCCACACAAGCAGAAGTCTTCCCACTTCTCCAGCTTCTTTTAAATAGTACAGAAGGTTGAAAATTCATTTAACAGCAACAGAGCGGACACACCCCCTCATAATTGAAATGCCCAGTCCTGTAGGTGGCACTACATAGGAGGCAACGTTAGGGGACAAGGATAAAAGCAACTGTTGCGTGAGCTCCGCTTCATAAAAACAATTATAGTACAGAACTGAGGCCGGGAAACTTCATCTACGTTATGTAAATAGAACTATAAAAGCAATATTTTCAGCTTTCACGTCAATAGATTTGATCACAATGCGTGCTGTATATGTACAATTAGATACAAAGCGATTTAAAACATACATTGAACACAGAATAAAAATGAGGGAAAACTTAGCTGCAAATTTATCTTGGTCACAGTTAGATTACAGATATACTTTTCTACTTTACGTTTTTAAGCAGTGAATTAATTACTAAACAACAGTGTAAAATGAAGAGAAAAAATAATAATCAAGCAAAATGCGCCAAACGTCAACTGGTGAACAATTACAATCGTTGCCAGGTACTTCAATATTTAATAAGTAATTGCATGCTTCAGTATTAACAGATTTAAGTATTATTGTACTTGTTAACCAAGGCCTGCGAGATACAATTAGATGAGAGCATGATTCAAAGTGATTCAACTATTAAGCTTTTGAATGAAATGGCTGCAACTCACTTAGCATGTATTTATAAACATGTACACTGTAAACTTAGTTTTTCACTCAATTTTAAAATTTGCCAACTACATAGGACAGCAATTTAGCTAACAAGCTACCCAGCCGATTGTGAAGGCGCGTTCACAATTCTTCCGGTATTTCATAATTTATTTAGTCAGCTGTTAACCGCCCTACACACAATACAGAAACATTGTATTACTTTTACAATATTTCTACAGCGCTCCGTCATTTAATTTAGTTACTCACCTTGGGTTTTTCGTCCGCCATGGTTATTCTCTGCGCGGTTCTTTACGCCGCCACACAAAGAGTTTGCGTGAACGCGCACGTCACCGCCCACGTTCAAGAAGCCGGTCTTACGTGCGCGGGCATGATTATTGACGCCGCCTTAGCATTCAAATGAAATTGGTCGAATTAGGTCACGAGGAAATGTAATCGGCGTTGGCCTGGGCGGGAGTGACTTCATGCGCGTCGACATGGCATTCGCCAGATCGCGGAATATCACGTGCACGCGCACACAGAAGCTGGGTTTTTAAAAAAACGTCTCTCTGATTTTTTAAATAGCAAATAGAAACATATGATTGTTATGTTAACACTAAACACGCCATACTGTTATTTAAAATACTAATTACATTAATTTGTAGGAAGTATGCGTTGTACAATTATTTTATGGAAAGGAGAAGGTTGAAAGCAACAGTGGCCATCTTGTTTTCATGTCATGGTTACAAACGTTTCACCCATACCCCACCTGTTGCAAATGTTGTTAATGACTATATTGAGTATTGACGCGGCACGATGGATCTAATACTGTGGAAAAATTTATTTGGGTTTAATAGAAAATGTTTTTATGTGTTGATATTCATGCTATTAAATTAAATACCAGCACATGAATAATTTTCTAAATATTTTACTCAGGCATATGATTAGTCTCCCGTCAAAGCCCGGGTAGAGGTCCTTCAAGCACCGCACCAGCGGCGCGCAAATCCTGTAGTCTTTCATTTAAACTGCCTATATGTGTAGTTTACACATTCGTTAAAACCCAGGGATTTTTGAAGTGGAATACTGTATTTCCATTAGGATGGGGGAGGTTGATGTCGATCCGATAATTACGGTACGTTTTTCTCCCGCATGTGTGACTGTGTCCATGCTTCGCTTCAGCATTCTTGCATGCCGCCGCCACAGAATCAGGTTTCTTGCTGTTGTGTAGATGTTGGCTAAAAATTTGAACATAGAGACAAGAAAAAGTTAAACTGTCCCCCTTTAGAAAAATTATTACAACTGTTATAATATCGTAAGATTATTTAAAATAACTTTAGAACACTGTTATTAATCGCTTTTCAGAATTAATAACATTTTACAGTGCTTGTGGTTTAGTTACGGAAATAGCAATTGTTAGTAAGTTTTAGCGAGATTTCCTTTAAAGGTAAAAATAATGATTAAAAAACTAACCCGTTTTCCACTAGTGCGCCGAACTTTCCGATTTAAAACAATAAAACGTGATCGGCACTTAATGCTGATGCGTATGACATTCCGTTTGCTTTACTGCATAGCTCATCCCCGGCATCGATTCCGGTCAGAGACACCTGGGGTTCGCCTGGGGACCGGGAGACCTTCTCACCTATGAGACACAGTACAAATCACAAGGTACCTGTCTGCACCTTCGACATTCACGAACACAGCACCCGTGTTTCGCGTGGTTCACATATTATCATTGTCTTTTCTCCCATTACGCATCACTGCCATTTGTTCTAATAGGAGCTGGAAGTGTCGGTCAAGCCTGTCCGTTTGTCCACGTGGTTCGGAAAGATGAAGACATATACTCTCCGATCCTACGTAAACTTTTTAATGAATCCCATTACATCTTCGTGGGGCTACAGAGGATCAAGGAAGAGGTCCCCAGCAAAAACAAGAAACCTCAGTATGTCATCAGTTCATTTTCTGAGTGGTGTCTGATTGTTCTAATCCAAATACAAACCAAACTATAAATTGGCCCATTATAGAACTGAAAAAAACACTAAGGGTAGTTTTTAAATGTGCAAAATGTTTAAGAGTACCTGTTTTGTGTTCAGTGTGGGGGAAAATGCGGTTTTACAGCTAAGCGGGCACCATCATTTGATATGTTCAAAACAAGGAGGCTCTTTATAGCCTGTTCTTTACTTTTAGGTTTATCAGTATAAGCAAGAACTATAGATCGGTGATCAGAGCGTGCATGGAGGAGCTGCAGCAAGCTGCAGGTATGTACACATGCCTTACCCAGACTCTGCCTTTAACGACATGCTGTCTGGCAAACGCTGATACAATGCTGTCCTTACCCAGTGTCCACCCATGACACAACGTTGGCAACACAGTATGGAAATCAGGTAAGAATAATCGGCCGCATTCTTAGACAGGGTGTACTTAGCAAACAAGGTCACTTATGTGATTTATTTTAAAAAAAAAAAAAAAAACCTCGTCTTCACAGGTATCAATCCTACTGGCCGTGGAGCTGATCTGGAACCTCTGCGAGGTGCTGTTCATCGAGGCAGCTCCGGGTAAGCTCTGTCCACCCCGGGCAGGCCGCCCACGGTGAGCTCCTTCTGGCGTGTGTGTCCGCGCTGCGCTGTTTCTGAGGGGCTGCGTGACTTTGCAGCCGGAGCCTTGCTGCGCCACCTGCTGGACTGGGTGCGGCTACACAAGGCCGACGTGGACGAGAAGGCACAAGAGGTGCTGCAGAGTGAGAGCCCAGTGCAGCACCAGGCCTACTGGGATGTGGTACGTGGTACAAAAGCCCCGTTTTGCCTCACCTTGTTACACAAGTACTGCTTTGATGGTATGTCGTTGAATGGACCGAGACTAGGGCTGGGTAATTACTTGAATTTGAATTACGATTTAGGGTTCCAGTGATTATCAAAACAAAATGATCAAGATAAAAACGATTATCGTGCCACATTTCATTTCACAGTGATGCTCCTGCGTTGTTTTGTGTTATAAATTCAGCGTGTCCCTTTCCAGCCCCCTTTTGTTTGTTTCTCAGGTGAATTTCATTTAGAGTTTAAGGAAATACTTTTAAAAAAGACAAGTTTTTTTTAAGCTCAATAAATGTATGATATTTGCAAAGTCACTGATTAATCGTGATAAATAATTGTGATCTTAGTATTGGCCAAAATAATCACGATTATTTTTGCCATAATCGAGCAGCCTTGACACAGCCACTTGGTGACTCAGGGTACCTTGCACCTGCTGTCTGCCCCCACACAGGTAGTGTGCTACGTGCTTCAGGGCCGGATGGAGGAGGCGGCACAGATGCTGATGAAGCAGGCCTCCCAGCAGCCTGCAGCCAGGGCTGCGTACAAGCTGATGGACACCCTCCTCACGAAGATGCCTGTGTACAGCGTACGTTGCCAGAAGCTTCGTAGAGCCATGCAGTACTGCTCGCCATTCCAGAGCCCCCTCTCCCAGTCACCTAAACATCCCACGCTGCTGCGCGGAGGTGCGTCTAAAAGCCTGTGGTGTTTGTCACGTGACCTCACAGCCTGGCGGGACGCAGACGCAGACGGAGTTTGATGTCAGGTGGCGGCAGTGGCACCAGGAGTGTAACCGATGCTTGGAAGATGGATCTTTTGCCAGCTACTCGCAGTTGGAGCTTATCTGCAGGGTAAAGCCTGAGTGTTGCGACTGAAAGCAAAAGCATCACGGTATCAGTCTGTGGTTCTGGATGATAATGATGATGATGATGATCTGCGCAGATCTTGGTCGGGGATGAGGATACCCTCCTGGCCCAGAGGGAGCGCCTCAGTACATGGTACCATTTCCTGGTGACACGTCTGCTATACTGCCATCCCATCGTGAAGCCTACAGAGCTGCATTACTATGCACAGGTACGGTCTGTGTGCAGCCGTGACCGCCGGCCCCGACTGAGTGCGTGACTGACGTTCCGGCGTGTGAGACACTGTTGCTGTTATGAGCAGCCGAGGTGTAGACGCTGGGTAAAAGCCTTCTCTGGCTCCAGGCGAGTATGGACATGTTCCTCGATGCCCGGAGCGGCCCGGAGCCCCTGGACAGCATTCTGCTCGCTGCCTTCGAGTTCGACATTCACCAGGTCATCAAGGACTGCAGGTCAGAGGCTTTGTGGCCGTTCAGATCACAGCGATTTCAGATACAGCCGCTCCCCAGGTTATGATGGGATTATGTTCCGATAAATCTTATCGTAAGGTGAAAATGCATTTTAATGCACTACACCTAACCTAATAAACATCATAGCCTAGCCTAGCCTACCTTAAACATGCTTAGAACACTTACATTAGCCTACAGTTGGGCAAAGTCATTTAACCATCATAAAGTCGAAATATCGTAACACGGACCGTCGTAACCCGGGGAGCGTCTGTATTCCCAGGCTGATGGTCTCCCATGGTGGATATGCAGTTCTGCAGGATGGACGTGGGGACCTTCTCCCAGGTTTAACGGTTTTGTTTCTTTTTTTTCCGCACCAGCATTGCCCTGAATAACTGGTGGTTCGTAGCTCACCTCACCGACCTTCTGGATCACTGCAAGCTGCTGCAGTCTCACAACCTCCAGTGAGTGGCCCCGTCGTCACTCCACAGCCGCACTGCGCCGCCACGTCGTCCGTCTATAACCGTTTGTCGTTCTCGTCACGCAGCTTCGGCTCGAATCTGAGGGAGTTCCTCCTGCTGGAATACGCGTCTGGCCTCTTCACTCATCACAGGTTCGCTTCTCAGTGTCCCTCCGCTCAAATTGCTGAGCAGTCGGACTTTGTCTGAACTCCCCTGTGATGCATACACACGTATATGTAGCACGTGCTTGTGGCTCCACTTAATGGACGGCACCTTCCGTCCTCTCAGCCTGTGGCAGCTGGCAGTGGACTACTTCGACCACTGCCCCGAGTTTGGCAGGGTCTACCTGGAGCTTCAGATAGAGCGGGTGCCTCTGGACACTGAGCACAAGGCTGTGAAAGTGCTGCGCATCTGCGAGCAGCGGCAGATGGCTGAGCAAGGTGTGTCTCACACACGGATACCCGTCTACGTGTCTGAGAGCCTCTGTGTGTATGAACTGATATTTTGGTCGTGCCCCAATCAGTCATCACCACCCCCCCCCCCCCCCCCCCCCCCCCCCCCCCCCCCCCCCCCCCCCGTCACTCCTCTCCCCCACCGCCAGTGCGCAGCATCTGCAAGATCATGGCCAAGAAGGCACTGAGGAACAGCCGGCTGGGCTCGGCCCTCTCCTGGAGCATCCGGGCCAAGGATGCCGCCTTCGCCACGCTCATCTCCGAGAGGTGGGCTCCCCCTACAGGCCGCCGCTCTCCCCGCACACAGGCGCCGCCTCACTCCCGCCATTCCCTCGTTTGCCAGGTTCTTGCAGGAGTACTGCAGCCACGGGACCTTCTCTGACCTGGACCTGATAGA